TGCAATTATCACTATATACCTATCAAAATGTCTAAAATATAAAATTGTTAACAGGGGCACCTGGGTGGCTCAGTCAGTTGAGTGTGCAACTCTTGGTTTCAGCTCAGGTCATGATCAAGCCCTGCTTTGGGAGCTAAGAGCTTAGCAGGGAGTCTGCTTGAGATTCTCTCTCTTGCTCTCCTTCTGCCCCTCCCCCCACTTTTGCTCTCTCTCTCAAATAAATGAATAAATCTTTAAAAATATATATAAAATTGTGACAATACCAAATGCAGATAAGGATTCTGAGAAACACACATTATTGAGTGTGAGAATGTAAAATGGTACAATTGCTCTAGAAAATAGTTTGGCAGTTTCTTAGAAAACTGAACATTCAGTTGCCATATGACCCAGCAATTACACCCCTGGGCAATTGCATTTATTCCAGAGAAATGAAAATTTAGGTCCACCCAAAAACATGTAAACAAATGTTCATAGTACTTTCATTAGAAATCACTTGGATGTCTGTCAGTGGGTTGAATGGTTGAACAAACTTGTATATCCATTGCATGGACTACTGGTAAGCAACAAAAGAATGAGATATAAATACAAACAACTTGGATGGATCTCAAGGGCATTTGGCTGAGTGAAAAAGCTATCCTCCAAAGCTTACATACTGGTTGCTGTAGTGGTTACACAAGTCTACACAGATGATAAAATGATGTAGAACCATAAACACACATTGTACCAAAGTCATTTTCCTGTCTGTGATATTATATTAGAATTTCATAAGCTGTAACCACTGGGTGAAGGGTACACAGGACCTCTGCACTACAGTTACAATTCCCTATACTCTATAGTTATTTCAAAATAAAAAGGTTTTTTTTTAAGATTTATCTATTTATTTTAGACAGGGGGAGGGGCAGAGGGTGGGAGAGAGAATCCCAAGCAGACTCTGCACTGAGTGCAAAGCTCCACACAGGACTCAATCTCACGACCTTGAGATCACGACCCGAGCAAAAAACCAAAAGTCAATCACTTAACCAACTGTGCCACCCAGGTGCTCCTAAAAAGTTTTTTTAATGCCCTAGAGGAGAAGGTATGCTACTAAGACAACCTCTGATGGATTATAGTTTGTTTTAGATGTGTATTGCTGTGACTTTTTTATAAAGACAAAGTCCTCATCTCTTATAAATATATACTACAGTTTTTACAGATAAAATTATGTCAAATCTAGGATCTGGAGGAGGAGGGGATATGGATGATGAAACAAAATTGCCTTCGTGTTGAGAATTGCTGAAGCTGGATAATGGATGTACAAGATTCATTCTCTCCGTTTGTGCTTATTTAGAACTTTCCATAATAACAGTTTAAAAACAGAAATGAAATAAAAATGTTGAGGGTTCCTTGGGACTCTTGATTGTGTGGGTCAGGGGCAGGGCTCTTAGCTCCTGCCCCCAAGCTGGACTCAGACCATTGCTGCCCGGCTGGAGCAGAGGGCTTCTCCAGTCAGTTCCAGTTCCAGGGACAGAGTGCTGCTTTCATCAAGTCCCGTGCTTCTGTGTCCATATTCGGCCACATGCACGAATCTTTAGCTGTATTCCAGGCATTGGCTCTGCCAGGCCCCACAGGCTCTGCCTTCCATTACTTGCCATCATCCTCCAGGCCTCCCTACATTCACTTATTCATCTCTCCATTTTTTTTATTCACCTGTTCAGTCATTCCTCTGTCCACCATGCTCCCATCCATCTCTTTACTCATTCATTTCTTTAACACTCACTGAAGTCTACATCAATGAATAAGGCATGGTTACTGCCTTTGGGGAGATGGTCAGACAGTGCAATGCATAGGGGATGTATGATAAGTGCCATGATGATTGTCTGTACAAAGCACCTTGGGAGTGAGATGGAAACCGATGTCAGTCCTTGGAGTGATGATGTTAGATAAGACTTTCACAGAGGAGGTACTGCTTGAGATGAGTCTTCAAAGTTAATATTTTCACCTATGTTTGGCTCACCCAGGGAATGTAAAATAATCCCCTTATTTTGATGTCAGCTGATTTGCAGACTTAATTCCATCTTCAATCTTAATTCCTCTTTGTCATGTAAAATAACATATTCGTGGGCTCCGGGGATTAGGACTTTGACATCTTTTGGAGGCCATTACTCTGCCTCCCACAAGAACAGAGTCCAGAACTTGATTTAAGGTCAGAGCAGACATTGTGGATCCATAGGAAGAGACTGTCTATTCCATAAATGGTGCTGAGAAAATTGCTTATCCTTACAGAAAAAAATGAAATTGGATTCTAAAGGTTGTGGATCCCATTCTCATGTGTGTTCCCATCACCATGCAATTTCTCAGACACCAGCAAGGTGTCCTACAATTCAGCTAAATTCTCACACTCTCCACCTGGAGTTAGCATCAGATTCCACAGGTCAAGGGCTCAGTCCTACAAGACCACCCTTGTTCTCCCACTTCAGGCACTAGTCACAAGCCCAAGGTGTTTCTGATCCACAGGCTATAGATGGGAGGTTCCAACAAATTCCCACCTTGGGTTTAATTTGCTAGAGCGGCTCACAGAACTCAGAGAAACGTTTTACTGACTAGATTACCAATTTATTACAAAAGGATAGAACTCAGGAACAACCAGATGGAAAAGAGTCCCAGGCAGGGTATGCAGGAAGGGTCACAGAGCTTCCAAACCCTCTCCAGGTGCGCTACTCTCCCCACATCTCCATGTGTTCACCAACCAAAAAGCTCTCCAAACACTGTCCTTAGGGTTTTTATGGAGGCTTCACTATGTAGGCATGATTGACTAAATCATTGGCCACTGGCTATTGGTCTAGACCTTCTCCCCTCCCTAGAAGTGGGTTGAGGGGCAGCCCCATCCCTGGGTTACCTAGGGGCTTTCCAAAAGTCATCATTAACATAACAAAATAAACATTTATCACTCTTATCACAGGACATCCCAAGAGTTTTAGGAGCTCTGTGCCTGGAAAGGGTCAAAGACCAAATATAAAATTTATTATAAATCATAATACTACAGATTTCAACCTACACAATACACAAAAAGCATTCCCAAGTGCAATAAAAACTTAATGTCAAAAGAAAAACTATAAAACATTGAAGGATAACATAGAAGAGTATCTTTGCAACTTTGAGGTAGGGAAGAGTTTCCTAAGCACAAAAAATATAAACCACACAGGACATGATTGATAAATTTGCCTATATGAAAATTAAGAACTTCTGTTCATCAAAAGCATCTTAAAGAGAGGGGACAAGCTACAAAGTGGGAGATGATACTTGTGATACAAGTGGGCGGCAAAGATTTAGTATGCAGAATTGGGGCAGTGTATGTATATATACACATACATAGAAATATATTTTTTTACATTATTGATTATATTAAAGACCAATAGCTCAATAGACATAGATTTTTCACATTAAAGGAAATACCAATGACCCATAAACATAGACAAGGTGTTCGCCCCATTAGTGATCATTAGCGATCAGAGAAATGTAAATTCAAACCACAGTAAGATTCCATTCCATACCCATCAGCCTGTCAACAGTGTCTGACAATGCCAGTCCTTGGAGCTGGCTAGGATATGGTGTGGTGGGAACATTCATACATACTGTTGGAAGGCTTTTTTTTTTAGAGAGAGAGAGCGTGTGCGTGCACACGGGGGACAAGGGCAGGGGGAGAGGGAAAGAGAGTCTTAAGCAGACTCCATGCAGAGTGTAGAGCTTGAGGTAAGGCTCCATCTCATGACCCCGAGATCATGACCTGAGCTGAATTCAAGAGTCAGACGCTTAACCGACTGAGCTACCCAGGTGCCCCACTGTCGGAAATCTTAAGTGGTAGAATAGCTTTGGGAAACAGTTTGGCATACCTAGGACCCAGGGATGCCACACCTGGGATGCCACACCTGGGCCCTACCCCCCCTAGAGCATCAATTCACACCAGGGGTAATGATTTTGCCAAAGAGGACAAAAATCTTAGGCATGACAATGATTTGTGGCCTTCCAAAGAGCCATGGAACATAACAAATATACAGTATATTTGTGGTATTAAAGTTTCATTGGGACAATTAGGAAAACAATGTATAAAAGGCTCTTTAGGGGGTAGTAATGAGAAAGAGGTTGAGAACCACTGTCCAAGGGGAAACTGTGGAACATGTGCCCAGGAGGTGTGTAGGTATGTTTGCAGTACCATCATTCATACCAGCAGCAACACAGAAAAGCACCCACTGCTCTCCAGCAGTGCAATGGATATGTAAAATTTAACATGTTCATAAAATGCAAGACTGTGCATCAGTGAGAATGAATCAATCACAGCTACACAAGCAGCTGAGTAAAAAAAAAAAAAGCCAGCCAAAGCAGAAATGCTACTGGATGGTCCCATTTATATAAGGTCAAAACATGCAAGACTCAACAGAAATAAATGCTAAAACACAGCATGGGTGTGATTTATAGAAATAATGGATAGCTCTAAAGGAAAGAGAGGGGGATGCAGTTGGAGTAGGGCATGCAGGTGGTTGAATTCTAAGATTCTGGTATTTTTCTTAAGCAGAGTAAGTACTATGGAATTCATTTTATTAATTTCCAAACTATACTTAAATATATATACTGTGTATTTCTTTGGATACATATATATTTCATAATAAATTGTTAGCATTATTCTTAAGGGCCTTCTCCCATACCTGGCACATTGGTAGTGGCTTTGAATTGAATTCAGCTAGAGGGGACTCTTGAGTGTCATGCTCTGGCAGATATTTCTGTTTCCTTTCTTAGGGAGGTGGTGGGGATTGAATGGTAGGTGATTAACAGCGATGGGGCAAACATCAACCTGTGCGCTCTTTCAACCAGACCATGTTTTTGCAGCAAAACTGGTTTGAGAAACTAGTTCCCAGGTCTTCTCCCTCCTCTCAGAGAAGGAGCATTTATCCTGAAAAGGTTCATCTCCTGCTCTGCCTGTCTCCCTTCCTCAGCTCCTCTTTGCCAGCTGGTGTCTCTCCTTCCAGCTATCCCTGATGGAGTTCTGGACACAGCCATCCGTGCTGATGAGGCGGGGAGTGAGGAGGACCTGTATGAGGACATGCACAGCTCCAGCCACCACTACAGCCACCCTGGAGGGGGTGGTGAGCAGCTGGCCATCAACGAGGTAGGGTCAAGGCTGCATGGGTGAAGGGATGGGGCTGGGACAGATGGCCTGGATGTCAGGGTGAGTCCAGCATGCTCGCACAGGCCTAGATGTCCACAGTCTCTGTGCTCCAAGCAGATGGCAGACGCCCCACGTGTACACAGCACAGTTTCAGCCTGTGGCTCTCACTTAAGGATGTGGGGTGCACCAGCAGAGCTTCCCCAAATACAGGACCTGCCCCTCTGCCTTCATGGGCTACAAGGAACCCAGAACGGCAGGCATGACCCAGGACCTACAATGAAAGAGCACTGGTCTGTCCTTCCCCATAAGAGCCCCTGTAAGCCATCCTGGATGGAACAAGATTTGCTTGGCAGAAAGGAGGCCAGGGCTTAGCGCCCTGTCCCTCCAAGAAGTTGTCTGGGCAGGATGGAAAGCAAGGCAAGTGAAAATTGATTTCTCTCCTATTGACTCCAAGAGCTCAAAAAGCTTTCTGGTTGCTATGACAACTGTGTACAAGTTTGTTTGTTTGTTTGCTGTTCTTACCTTAACAGAAGAAATTAGTGACATACTTCCTCCAGGCAAAACTGCTTCCCATACCAAGGACTCCTTTTGCATTCTCCAAGGACAGAGACATTTTGAGACCTTGACTCCTCTCTTTTTCTCATTTGTACTCCTATTTTCTCCCCCTCTTTTTTTTTACTTAATTCGGTGGGTAGGGGAGCCCTAAACATAATGTGGTTCATAACTCACATCCATTACACTGCATTCTCTTCCTGGTCATAAGCTACTATGTATTTCTGCCTCATCAAAACCAGAATCTGACCACCCAGGATCTTGCAGCACCTCAGGAGGGGGTCAATTTATGAATAGTGTGAGTGAATGAATGGGCTGGTGGGATTCTCAGAAGCCCTCAAGGAGTATGCTGTCCTCATTACCTATTCGACAGATGGGTACAAACTGTAGTTGGTGGACGAACTCTTCTCTCAGGCCCGGATCTGAACAATGATTTAGAAGTCATTAAATAATGCTTTATTCAAAATCCATGGTGTGTTAAATAGCACATATCCAAGTAAGTTGACTTTTCCAATACACAAAGTCTTTCTTTAAGTACTTCTCATCAGCTATTTTAAATGGAAGATGTTCTAAAATTATGTCATCTTAAGCTGAATTCACAGATAATGGTTTTGCTTTTCCTTGAAGTCTCAGGCTGCCCTCCTCAGTCTTGGGCCCCAGCCCTGGTGGGGAGCAGCATGGTGCAGGGGGTAGAATCTGAGCGTTGGGGCTCCCCAGACCTGGATGGGAGTTCCTCCCTGCCCTGGGCCAGGTGTGGAGCTCTGAGCAGGTAAACCCTCTGAATGCTGGTTTACTTAACTGTAAAATAGGATGGCCATGAGGTTACCTGAAGACTGACTGAAATAATGTAAATACCCTGGCATGTGGTGGGTTCTCGGTAAATTTCCAGCAATGAGGATGATAACAAAAAGGAAATACTCACATACAGCTTTTAGGGACTCTGAAAAGGTGTGTGACCATCGGTGCTGCGTTGTTAGAGTTCTTGCGTCTGTTTTCCGTAGCTGCGTGTGTCCTTCCTGATGGTGAAATTCTGGTCCGTCGCATTGTGTTGCTGGTGCAGAGGGGCCTTCCGAGGCCCTTGACAAGTTTTTCTTTTTTTTTAAGATTTTTTTTTTTTAATTTTTATTTATTTGACAGAGAGAGAGAGATAGTGAGAGAGGGAACACAAGCAGGGGGAGTGGGAGAAGGAGAAGCAGGC